TTTCACCACCCTGAAGAAGGGTCCTGATAGATAGCTAAACGCATGGGGACAAAACCGGGGTCAAAAGCAAGCTTCAAGGGGGCCTTCAGGGGGAAAAGAGGAGCCTCAGGCTCCCGCCTGGGGATTTGAGCACACTGGGAAACACTGGGTCCGCCTAGCTTTTTGTCCTAGAAAAAGAAACTTCAAAATATGACAGGCACTAACTGCCAAAGGAAGTCTAAGAAGAATAACCACATTATGGATATTTTTAGCCTTTCTTTTCATAAATGTTTTGTCACTGCTTTCCAAATAGTTCCAAATCTTACAAGTTAGCCAGAAGAAGCACAGTACCGAGGTACTGCTCGGAAGGCTAAGAACAGGGACTAATCTACCTTTAATTCACTTAAAGGAATGTGCTTTTATCAGTCTTGCTCATAAAAACACAAAATTTCCATAAAGACTGTGGGGAGCCGGGGGTGATGGTGCACACCTGTAATCCCAGCACTCAGGAGGCTGAGGCAGGAAGATCACTGCTGCGAGCTAGAGGACAGACTGGGCTGCAAAGCGATTTCAAGGCCAGGATGAATTGCATAGTGAGACCCTGTCTCCAAAAAGATTAACAAGACAAAACCAAAAGACTGTAAAAATGGACTCTATCAGACATATGGGCTCTGCACCAGGAAGAATGGCTGGTGGGGACTTAAAGCCACAGCCAGTAGCCCAGCAATTAAAAATCAGCATCACCCAAATCACTTCAATGTTGTGAAATGCTACACTAAACCCGAGTGAGCTACCTCCAAAGCTTCTGTGGACAGTAAGAGAAGGCCACTCATTACTGTTACTCTAGCAATAACCAAATAAAGAGCCACAAAATGGTCAACAAGGAGAAAACCCACAGGACAAAACTGACACTTGCTGTGTGGTATAAGACAGACATACCTTACTTAAAATTCCTTTTAAGTTTATAAATTGGGCATTGCAGCCAGGACCTTTGCACTGAGCTAAATACTCAGTCTTAATTACCCCCACACACAAAGAAACAGACACAGCATTTCCAATGGGCCCATGAGATAGCTCAGCAGCATAAGCGCCTGCCTGGCAAGCACAAGGTCCTGAGTTCGAGCCCTGGTATCACAAAAACAAAAAGATTCTAAAGTATTTATTTTGAAACATGGTCTCCCTCCCTAAGTAGGTTGCCAAAGCTAGGCTTGAACTTGCCATCCTCCTATCTCAGCCTCCTAGAGTGCTGGAGTTAAAAGGGTACACCACCATGACCAGCATAAACATTTCAGCATAACTTTTTTTTTTTTTAAAGTGTGGATTGTTCAGAAGACAATTTCAAGTTTCTTGACATGTCTCAGCTAACCTACTCGTAAAGCAAAAATGTCTCACACCTTTATTCCTGAACACGGCTAAAACCTCAGGAAGAAGGATGATGGCTATAGCTCAGAGGTAAGAAATTCTCTAACAATCACAGGAAGGTTTTGTTTTTGATGGTTTGGTTTCGTTTTGCCATGCAGGCATTTATGCCACTGAGCTACACCACCTGCCCTGTGTGAATGGTTTTAGGCCCTTCTATCTTTGGAAATCTGAATGTGACCTGTAATGTTTTGGTAGTCAGTAAATCAGAAGAGATAAGTTACAAATTCCAAGCTGGTTGAAGTGACACATACAAGGTGCCCATCATTATCCCAGCACCTAGGAGGCTGAGGCAGGAGGGCAGTTTTGAGTTGGAGGCCAGCCCGGATGCCCACGGTGAGTTCAAGGCCAGCCAGAACTACATACCCCAGACCCTGTCTAAAACAAACAACAAACTAACTCTAAATCACAAAACTGTTGATACTGCTGGGCTGCTTACATACAACTAAGTAGATCCTTTGAAATATAGTGAATCCAAAAAAACATAAATGATGCACCGTAATGACAATATGTGAGAGTAAAAATTTTAAGAAACAACTAATTTACAGAAAGTATTCTTATGCTAAGAATAGTGGCACATGTTCCTGCCTGGCAAGTGCAAGGTCCTGAGTTCACTCCCTGGCACCAGAAAAAAACAAAAAAGAAGAAAACTCAAATCCAAACCTTCCTGCTAAGTGTGGACCATTAGAAATTACTTAATGATACCTCATCTTTCATTAGTTTAATGTTTCAAAAGGTTCTTGGGATAATACTATCACGCCAGGAAATGTTTATTCACTCAACTAGTATTCACTGAGCAACTATGTGTCAGGTCCCAGGAGGGTTGGGGAGGAGGGAGGGAGAGAAGGAGATGAGGACAGGGAGCCAGACAGAGAGAAAGGGAAGAAGGGAAAGAGTGAGATGGAGAGGAGTGAGGGGGAGGGAGAGGAAGGGAGGGCAGAGGAGAGAGGAAGGAAGAGAGAGAGGGGAAGAGTAAGGGAGAGAGAGAAAGGGGAGGGGTTGAGAGAGAAACTAGAGGGCTGGAAATGTAGCCAAGTATAGACACTTGCCGAGGATGAAGAAGGCCTTGTATAAGGAATACAATCCCCATAATAAGGAAAGGGGTATAAGATAAAATAATAAAAAAGATAGCATTTTCTTCAAGTTTTTAAGGTTTTTGTTATTGTTGGATTATGTTCCCTGACTGGAAAGAGAAGAAAGAAAGCTCTCATCCCTTCACCCTACCCCTTCTTCTTCACCCAGTATTCACCACAAACATCTTGCTTTCTCGGTTCAGTTCTATAAACTTTATTTTGTTAGCTTTTCCGCCAAGTGGTACAGCACCAAACAAGAAGAAACACTATCATCCCTAAGTGATTCCACAGCCATATCTCTCTTTATTCCTTTCTAGAGAAAGGAACTTTCACTGCTCCAAAGCATCACAGGTGCTAATCTTACTTTTATAATCATAAACAATCAAATGAAGCCTTATTTGACTGTACATAAATGTTCCACAAAAATGTTTCACTGTATAAGTTTTACTTCCTTATTCACAAATGTTATCAGGAATTAAGACTCAGTTCCTTCTTTAAATATACCAAAATGCCCATTACAATTCGGTTTAGAACACTTTTTCTACCTGCCAATTAATTCCTGTAACTCTGTACCTCGAATGTGTTATGCTAGAATGGGAAATACACAGGCAAAGGGGCTTCAGAGCATACATTGAACTTTTCAAGCCAGAAACTAGGGTTCACTATCACGATTTTCAGCATAATCCTTGGAAAGACATACTATATTAGTGTTTTGCTAATTCTAAAAGCCATAAATATATATGTATGTGTACATAATGCAATATATATTACATCAGTATTACAAACATTTGAGGAATTTTACAAATAAATGACTACATATAAATCACATAAAACTACTATATGCACATAAACCTAGAAAGAAATGCTTTCTTGCAAGGGCCTGAGTTCAATCCCGGGTTCTGCAAAACACACACACACACACACACACACACACACACACAGAAAAAAAAGAAAAAAAAAAAGAAATGCTTTCTTTACTTTAAAAGCACTAAAGAGTCCTCATACAATTCCAATCTGGATTTTCCAGCCTTTGTGAAGGAAAATATCGTTCCTGGAGAATCTAAGAACTGGCAAGTTTTCTGGAGATTAAGACCAACTTCTGGAATAGCCTTCAAACTAGCAGGAGCTTGTTTCCACGTGTCAAATGGCAAGAGCAGCGTAAGTGGAATGAGAAAGTACAAAGCGGAGAAGTAAAAGAAAGGGGAGAGCAACAAAGAGAAAAGCAAGGTAGGAAGACACAGGGACGTGCCATTTTTCCACAACAGATGGGGTGGGCTGCTGTTTTCCAAACTCGAGCCATTTAGCAGGCTCCCTACTGAGAGTAAGGAAATCATCCTTCAGGCGGAGAGGGGGACAGCGACCGCTCCGAACTTCACTTAGATTAGCGACTGAGGCGGTTCAGAGGACCCTGACTTCCATCTAGTCCTTCACCACCCTCTCTTCCCGACTTCTAGAGGCTGAAAATACTGCACCTTTCAAATCTCAGAAATTTGACCTCAGAAAGTGGTTCAAAACTTAAAAGGTCGGCAAGGTCGGCCTGGACACATGTCCTCCCCGCCAACTGAAGAACTACACCTCGGACTCCTAGACTACTTTTCTTGCTTCTAGTCCCCAGGACGGTGATCTAGAACCCCCCCCCGCCCCTTCGGAACCGGGGATTGAACTCAGGCCCTTGCGCTTGCGAGGGAAGCGCTTATTCTACTGAACCATCTCCCTGGCCCCCCTAGAAAGTTTGTGCGTGCCTGTTGTTTTTTTTAAAGAGCGACATGTCTGTTCCATTATAGCTTTCTGTGATCTGATGTGAGCGCGGCGGCGCCCTGGTGCGGGTTCAAGGGCCAGCCCGGAGTCCAGCCCAAATGCCCCGTCTGGAAGGCCTCCGAAAAGAAAAAATAAATAACAAAAAAAGATCACGGTCGTGCAAAACTGGCACAAGTTCCTCTTCCATTTTCTCCCAACTCATGTTTCCCATGGCATGCTTCCTCCAAAAAAGGAAGAAACCGGCCCCGAGCTCAGCTCTCGCTGCCCTGCTTCTACCTAGCACCGGAGCTCAGCTCGTTTGCAGAACATGCGGGCACCCACACCTTCACTTCGCGGGGAGCTTAGTGAATGACCATCGCAGTCCGGCCCAGGTGGCCCCGGCCCCCCTCCCCCACCGGCGCGCCCCGGAGGAACCGGGCTAAGTTGTCACCACAGCCACCACTAGTTCGGTCCCCGAGCCACTCGGAGGCCACTAGCCAGCAAGCAGACGACCACGGCGGGCGGGCGCGGGAGCCGACGCCCGAGCTCGCAGCCCGCCGCCCATCTGCAGCCCGACCCAGGGGGAGGCGCCGAGGCCCTCCGGCGCGGAAGGCTGCAGCCGGCTCGGCCTCTCCGCCCTTCCTCCCGCCGCCCTCGCCCAGAGGCGCGGGCTCCAGACACGTTCCCGGGCCCCAGACGACAGAAGCGACTTCCCGGCGCCCCGCTGCTTCCCGGCGAGCATCCCCGCGCGCCGCCGCAGCCACGTGGGGGCCGGACCCGGGCGCCACTCACTTGCTGGCCGGCGCGGGACTTGCCCTGGGGCGCCCTCCTGAAGAAGGAGGTCCTGGCGGTGAAGAAGAAGTCCTCGGCGTCCTCCTCCAGGCTGCTGTAGCCGCTGCTCATAGTGCTGGCCCTGGCGCGCAGGCGGCCAGGCAGGGGGCGCGGCGCCCGCCCGCCCGTCCGTCCGCCCCGCGAGCTCCGCGGCGCGCGCCCAAGCCCCGGCAGACAGTGCAGCGACAGCTGCAGCCGCCGCTCAACCGGCCGTCTAGGCCACTCGCGC